GAATGCCGGCGTATTTTCCTTCTTTCGTCCTGGTTGATTTCTTGTGGACGCCTGCTTTCGGATCCGTTTGAAATCTTCGCGTTTGGGGCACTGTTTGTCGGACCCTTGATGAGCGCCATTACAGTTGGCGCATTTGGCCGCTTCCGACTCGTCGACAACACACTCGGAGGAGATATGGTTTTGGGCGCATTTTCCACAGCGCGGCTTGACGAAGCAGTTTCGGGTGCCGTGCCCGAAATTCAGGCAACGTTGACACTGGGTGACGTCGTGACGGCCGCCACGGTATGGCTCCCATCGGACAATGATGGAATTGATGGAGCGGATAGCCTTCAACGCATTGAGCGTCACCGTTCCCTTCTGGAAATGCACCAGGAAAAGACAATCTGGATACCTTTTGACGTTCTCGTCCCTCCTTGTCATCCGGAAGACGGCAGTTGGGGCCAGCTTGTAGCGGTTCTTGATTTCCGCTTCAATCAGCTTCGGGTCAAAATTCGGTAGACCCCTGATGACGACCTTGAATGGTTTCTCGCCGGGAATGTCGTGGGTGAAAAATTCCACCTTGACAGTCCTCAGGTGGGCAACGACCAAGTCATACTCCGCTTTCGTGCGGAGCATAACCTTGGTGCCGACTCTGCCCAACTTGAATTCGGCTTTAACGCCCAGCGAAGCCAGATCTGCGATGAGATCGTTAAGATGGGCATTTTTTACTACCAACGGAGGTAGCTTTACTTTTGCCGTGCTTGTGTCGGCAACGTCACCGAAATCTCCGACATCACTACCGTTTGCCGCAGTAGCATCGCCGCGAGAAATCGTGCAATCGGACTGGCTCCGATTCTTCTTCCTCTTCTTGCTGCGCTTTCCTTTTGCAGCTGGCTGGGTATGCTCATCGATGGGAAGAACAGCAAACCTGTTCGATGTGGACACACCGGAGCTACCTTCACCGGCGTCCTGGTCCTTCACCGGGCTTCGCGAGCGATGCTTCCCCATTTCGGGGCACACACACACGCACGACAAACCACGAAAGAAAGAGCGCGAACACTAACTCACAAAAATACTTTCCGAACAACTCACGAGAGCGAGCTCAAACCGAACTAAACTGCTTGACGTTCAAGCAGAGAATCTGACGGTAAAACATATCTGGTGCCTCTATATATGCAATTATATTAACATCCAAAGTCCATCCTATTTTACATATTCTGCACAAAAGAAACTTTCTGCTCCGCCCCATTCATAAAAAACTGCGGGAAATCCTATCAGGTTCTGAACCTGAAAAGATATAAAACAGCGCTGCTGTCATGCTTTTGCTCATTGTCGCTTCGGACGGCGTGGCGCTTGGTCCTGCAGTAAGCAGGACCAAATCAGCGACTTAAGGTGGATCACGGCGTGACCACAATAATGATGAAACCCCCTCCCCCTTTCACAACAACCTCTCCCCCTCCCCCTTCACAACAATCTCTCCCTCTCCCCCCTTCACAACAATCTCTTCCCCTCCCCCCTTCACAACAATCTCTCCCCTCCCTCAACGACCTCTCCTAACCCCCCACCACCACTCATCAACAACCTTTCCTAACCCCTCCCCCACTCATCAACAACCTTTCCTAACCAACCCCCTCCCCACCCCTCAACAACCTTTCCTAACCCCCCCCCCCCCCACCCCTCAAATACCGCTCCTAACAAAACAATATCTATGTGTCAGCCACATAGGGGAAATGACGCCTTCGGCTTGCAAGACTATTTTCGGCAACCCAAATTGAAACACTATTTTCACTGGATTTTCTTACGAAAACACTTCGCTGAATGCATGCAAACGATTCTTTATGCTTTCAGCTTGAATTTGACTATATTTTTACCACTGGGAAAAAGCAATCTAGCAAGGTTTTCTTGAAATGAAACACACACACTACAAATTGTAGCTGATTTCGAGTTGCCGATAATAGAACAGCAGATTTACATGCAGTTCAAATGGAACGGTTGCCGAAGAAAAACTGGTTGCCGACAATACTCGCTCTCACTAGAGAAGATTGGAGCTTTTTAAAAGCGTTTCAAAACAGTTTTTGACAATTCTTTCGACTGAAATTGTTAGAGCAGCTGGCAGCAAAAGATTGTAAACAAACCAATACTGCATATGTGTGCGTTCCTCAGAGAAAAAGGCTATAGAAAGAAGGTCGCTGCTTAGGTTGCCGAGAATACGTAAATTCCCCTACTTAAAATATGTACATTTAAAAACCATGCGTGACCACTAGACTGATGCAAAATTTGAAATTTTCGCTCCACAGTGCTCAAATGGTTCCAAATTGGGCCCTGATAAGCCTCTCAAAATTTGAACTCATTTAGTGAGAAACTGACTTGGCACAAACCATTTGAAGTTTATATGGGAATTACTATGGAGAAACCATAATTTCAGTTTATATCTATCTCAAAATTCACCAGTTCACTCTACTTTAGAAAATGATAGCTGAACTTGTTGAAAACCACTTTTCGATCAAACGTAAGGAACAAAAATTATTAATGATTCAAGTCCCTGATGTCTTATGATTATGCTCAATCAACTGTTCAGCAGGCAACATTGGTGTTTATGGCGCGTAGAATAGAGGACAAAAATCATGGCTACTATGTCACACTGCAGAATACAGTGTTGCCCACAATACAGTTGCTTAATCTTGCCATAAGATTATCAATCTCTTAAAAAATTAATAACTATTTAATTTGCCGTTTGGATGAAAAATGATCTTCTGCAAAGTTGTAGCTGATAAAAATTCCCATAAGAATAGCAATAGAATGTGTTAACAGTACAATGTGTAAAAAGGCAAGAAGACAATGAACAAAAAGTTTTGTTTTCCCATAGTAATTTCCATGTAAACTTCAAATGGTTTGTGCCAAGTCAGTTTCTTATAAAATGAGTTTTCTCTTTTGGAGGCTAATCAGGACCCGATTTGGCACCGTTTGAGCACTGTGGAGCGAAAATTTCAAATTTTGCATCAGTCTAGTGACCACACATACTATTCATTTGCGTGTAAATTTCATGTGTACTTCTGAGTGGATTCTGTTTATGTGTGGTCAAATGAAAATCATGTGGAATTTCACATGGATATTTGTAAAGAAAATGTGTAAATTGTTTTGAATCAACCATAACCGAAACATTGAAATACTTGAAAATTTTAAGATAAAGTATAATAGTCAAAAATGCATGAAAAACAACAATTTTGTGTGGTTCTACGTCATACTGCGGTCGTGTCTAGGACACAACCCTTTACTTTTTTCCTAGAAATTTTTGATAAATAGTATTTTCTTACAGGCTGAATTTTTATGTATTTTTGACGTAGGACTACGTCTTTGATTTCTATATGGGGGTACACTTTGTGAAAACTGGAAATGGAACATGTAACAAATTATGAAAGATTTTGAACGTTAATAACTCAACTGCCCCTGGTTAAATTTCAATAATTTTATCACCAATCGATCAGAAATATGGCTACGCATCAATAATAATGCTTCCGAATGTTGATTTTCAACAAGAAACTATTGAAAAACTGGTAAATGTTCAACATTGTCCAAAAGCGTCGAATTAACTAACAAATCCACCAATTAATCATTTTGTTCAACCATTTTCCGCAGAGATGGCGCTGTTCCGCTGGTAGGAAGTGATAAAAATTCCCATATAGAAATTGAGAGAAGTGGGAATAATTCGCTTTCGGTGCATATTCAGAAACAAAAAAAGTGAACGACAACCTAAAGAAACTAGTCAGGGACTTTGTCGTTCAGTTTTTTCCCGGAAATTTTTGTTAAACAAGCTACAATTAAATAAAAATGATTTTTCCCCATACTGTTTTACCTGCTTTACTACCAGTTCCCAGAGAGCCAAAAAATTCAAATTCGAGAGAGAAAATTTGCTCTCACGACCTCAATCTCTCAACATGCCATGTATTTTGTTGACACTCGATTTGTGATTTCCCTTTCACAGATTACAAAATAGAGTACCTGACACTACAAAACATGTCTGGTACCTCTATATATGCATTTGCTTTAACATTTGAAGTCCCTCCTTTTTTACATATTCTGCGCAAAAGATACTTTATGCCCCGCCCCATACATAAAATTCGGCTGGAAATTCTGTGAGGGGTGAGCTATTTTGTGTGCAGAAAGTGTAAAAAAGGAGGGACTTCGAATAATAATCTAAATGCATATATAGAGGTACCAGACATATTTTGCACTGCAGTGTCCTCTGTGAACAATTATAGGAAAACAGATTGTGTCTAGTTTCCGATTGATGTCACCGCAAACAACAGCTGTGACATCTGATGGAACATGAATGCAGAAGCTTGACAAAATGATCAATTACCTACATGCATATGCTGCTTCCCCAGCACAGTCGTCAGAGAGTAGTAATTAGACGAAACAAGTCGAATTGGAATTCGCCTCCGATCGTCGGGCGCGTGTGCATAGGGAGGATGGAATTGCGTAATATTTTGCACACTTGTTACGGGAGCGGAGATGTTTCGGACTTTCCTACAGCGAACTCGTTGTACTGTGGTTGAGTATGGCTTTAAGCTATAATTTAATAGCATATAGTTCATGTTCTAAATGGTTTACAAGGGTGTTTACTTACAATATAAGTCTTCCACGTGTACGTTCTCCGTCGTATCGTAACAATGTATGTAGGTCTTTGTAGTAGCTATAATATGTATTTTTTTTTATGTTTCCCTTGTTTCTTAGGATTAATTCAATTATTGTACTTACAATTATGTGGAAAGAAAGAAATAAACGTATAATTTCACTACGAATAATATGTGCTTAAGATTTTAACGTGTTAGCTGGATCACTTGTACTGTTTTGTGTTTGGTTCTATCGTTACCCTACCATGTCATTGTCGTTGTCTGTCAAGGAATGTCACTTTGCTCGCATTGATCCCTGCGGGAAAGTGCTGGCCCGTGTTGCCAACACGCCCCCACCCGTATTGCACGAAGTTCCTTCTGCTATACCCTCATCAGGCCTTTGTACATCTAACACAGCAATCCGAGTCGCCGAATGGCCATCTTGCAGGACTCGGTGGAGAGACTCGATGCTACCTCCAGGTGGATCGCACGAACTGACAAACACGTAAAGAGTGCTATCCATCGCTTAGCATTACTGCGACCTATCCTCACCGTAATCGGGCCAAAGTAGTCCAACCCAACGAAAGAGAACGGCCGAACGTAAGGGGTTAATCGTACAGCAGGTAGGGGTCCCATTCGTGGTGTTTGAGGTTTCGTCTTATAGACTCTACACCAATTGCAGTGAGTGCTTACGTTCCGCACAAGCACTCTCAAGGCCGAAATGGAATACTTCTGTACGATCTCGTTCACCACAGTTTCTCCATTGGCATGCCGGTATGTGCGATGATACCAATCAGCTAGCAGGAAGGTCACATAGTTCGCTTTCGGCAGAATCACTGGAAATTTAACGTCGTCGGAAATCCAATCAGCTTCCCCCATGCGTCGTTCCATACGGATCAGTCCACCTTCGCCAATAACTGGAGATTTTCCATAAAGACGGCTGCTTTTCTTGATCGTTTGCTGATGATCTGGACGCTTCTTTTGGTTTCTCAGCAACATCGTAAACTCCTCCGGATATGCATTCAGCTTAACCAGTCTCCAAACAGTGAATTCCGCATGCCTCAGCTCCTCGCGATTTAACGTTGATGTAGAACAAGTTGGTTCGTTCCGAGTTTTGCTAAGGCAATTCTTGTAAAATCGGCCCACGAATGCGATCGTTCGTAATAACCGTTCCCATTTTGAGAAACGCTTAAAGTCAATCACTTGTTCCACTTCTACATGGATCTGCACATTCGTCGGCCGCAGCTCCAACGGAGAATCAGCCAACGGAAGCTCACGTTGGGGCCAGTAGTCTTCATTCTCATAGAGAAAACCCGGCCCTTTGAACCAGCGGCTATTGGCTTCAATATTAGGTCCAATACCCCACTTTGTAGCGTCATCTGCAACGTTACACTTCGTCGGAACCCATCTCCAGTCCTTGATGTCCGTAGTTTCCAGGATTTCACCGACTCTAAATGCCACAAACTGTGTACGGCGCCGTGGATCGGATCCCAGCCAAGACAGAACTGTAGTGGAATCGCTCCAGAGTATTTTGCGGTGAATCTTCAGTGTATGGTTAGAAATGACGGTTTTCAACAGGCGTGCTCCCATAACAGCGGCTTGGAGCTCCAACCGGGGGATAGATAACGGTTTGAGAGGGGCGACTTTCGTTTTCGCAGAAACTAGGCAACAGCGAACGATCCCATGGTCTAACACACGAAAGTATGCGCAGGCTGCATAAGCTGCTTCACTAGCGTCGACAAAGATATGCAACTCCAGAGAATCGTACGCCTGAGGCCCGTAGCCGGGAAAGTAGCAACGGGGGATCTTCACCTCATTGAGCTGCCGCAAGATCTGAATCCATGTTTTCCAACGACCGAACGTGTCTGCCGGGATGAATTCATCCCAGTCTACACCAGCTCTCCATATATCTTGAAGTAACACCTTTCCATGAACGAGAACAACAGCCAGCAATCCCAGTGGGTCGAAGACGCTCATCACAAGACTCAGGGCTTCCCGTTTCGTCGGAATTGTATCACCAGTCATCAAAGGCTGGAGGTTTTCGCGCAACTGGATTGAAAATGAGAAGACATCCTCCGTCGGTTGCCACGCCATGCCTAATACACGCTCTGTACTGCTACATTTATCCATCACGAAACATTTGCTTATTCCTTCGCTGCATGCGCCGATTCTATCGATGACATCCGACGAATTCGACAACCAATGTCGAATCTCGAATCCTCCCTTAGCGTGAATCGTCCTTACTTCATCCACCAACTGTACCGCTTCGTCGACTGTATCTACGCTGTCTAAATAATCGTCGACGTAGTGGTTTTCCTTCACCGCCTCAGCTGCCTTCGGGAACTCCTCTGCCAGTTCATCCGCATTCAAATTTTTAACAAACTGTAGTGAACACGGAGAGCAAGAGGAGCCAAATGTAGCTACGTCCATAACAAGTATCTGTATTGGTAGCGATGGATCGTCTCGCCACAGGAACCACTGTGCACGGCGATCTTCCGGTCGAATCAAGATCTGGTGGAACGCCTCCCGTATATCTCCACTGATGGCAACCTGTCTTTGCCGATATCGACTGAGTACCGCCGGAAGTGGAGTAAGCAGATCCGGTCCTTTTAAAAGAACGGAATTGAGGGACACACCTTGAACCTTCGAAGCTGCATCCCAAACTACGCGCACCTTTCCCGACTTCTTCGGGTTAACGACGACCCCTAAGGGCAAGTACCACACTTGCTTCGGATCTGTTTCCGCAAGCTCCATGTCCGTTGCTATATGGGCGTAGCCTTTCGCTTGATATGCCACGATCTGCTGCTTGACCTCAGAATACAGCTCTGGAGATTTCAGCAAACGCTTCTCCAGACAGTGCAGCCGCCGTTCTGCCATCAGTCTGCTGTTGGGGAACTCTACCTGGTCATATTTCCATAAAAGCCCCGTCTGGAACCGTCCGCTGGGAGTACGAACTGTAGTGGCTTCTAGAATTCTTCGAGCACGTCGGTCGTCAGCAGAATCCAAAGCGTTTGGCGAGGATACTCCCGCGCCTTCGACCCGAAAAAAATCTTTCACTAGGTCGTGAAGTAGCTGATCACAGGGTTGGCTACACATGTGAATAATGCGGCGAGATGTACCTTCGTTGGGACCTCGGTTCCGTCCGAATACCACCCAACCAATCCGAGTTTTCGCTGCTACTGGCTCATCGGATTTACCTTCCTTCAGCTTCAGAGTCGTTTTTATCTTGGTATTGTCTAGACCGATCAAAATACCAGGGGACGCATCATTGTAGCTTTTCACGGGAAGCCCTCGAAGGTGTGGGAAGTCTCGTTCGAAGTCCTCAAACCTTAGAGATTGTCGAGGCAAATCCAGACTTTTTACGGTGTGTACACCATTCAGGGCGAAGCGCTTTGTTGAATCCGATGCAGAGATGTAAAGTTCGACACGCTGCGACGCTTCTTCCATTCGCTTTACTCCGTTCGTCCACTGCATGCATAACGGAGCCGGTTGTCCTACTATTCCTAGCTGCCTCGCGATGGAGTTTTCCACCAGGGTAGAGTCGGAACCGCTATCGAGAAAAGCAAAGGTATGGATTGATTTCCCATTAGCGTGCAACGACACCGGAACTATACGAAATAGTATCTGACTATGCAAATGTTGATGAACAGCTACCGTTCCCGTGGTGGTAGTGGTGGTGGTACTAGTCGTTTCTGCCTGTGGTTCTCCAGGGTGTAGCAGGCGGTGGTGACGTTGCTGACACCCGTTTACGCCACACGCTGGAGCCTTGCAAGGCCATCGCCCATGCGGATACAAGCATCTTTTGCAGAGATTAATTTCATTTGCAACCTTCCAGCGGTCAGATAAACTTTTTCGCTTAAACGTATCACAGTCCTTCGGCTTGTGGCCAGAAATTTTGCAGACTGCACACGGCCGATACACTTTGATATCCGACGCACTTACTCCTGAGCTTGTTCCTTCTTTATTCCGCCATTCTGACCGGGACACCTCAGTAGAGTGGGGGTTCACAAACGCCTTCATATTTCCTTTTAGCCGATCTGCTTTCTGTGAGCTAGATTCACCAATTGCCGTAACACTACTAGCCGCTGTGACCAACACATTCATATATTCTGCGAATGCACGTAGATCCGCAACCAGTACACGTTGCTTGTGGAGGGCCCAATCTAGTTTGATATTCGCGGGCAGCTTCTCCACGAGCTCCTGCAATAGAATTGGGTTCGCCAAGTGCATCTCCTGCCCCGTACTCACAAGGTGTACGCAAAGGTTTCTCACCGCCAGTCCAAAATTGATCAGGGTTTCCAGCTTTTCCGGCTTCGGCGTAGGAGTGGCTCGTACTTCGTTCAGCAGTGTTTGGATGATCGTATCTGGACGACCATACAGCGAGTGTAGAGTGTTCATCACCTCGGCAACATTTGCTGGATGCAGCAAAAAACAGCTAACGGATTTTCTGGCGTCTCCTTTCAGACTCCGCTGTAACCGCATCAAGTTTTCTGCATCAGTATATCCACACATCTGTGTGGACGTGTCGAAACTACTCCAGAAAAGGGGCCATTCTGCTGGATTTCCGGAGAACGATGGAAGCTCTTTGGGCACCACATGACGAGCTGCTAGTTGTTGTGAATTTGGACCGAATGGGTGCTGAACCGGGATGCTGGGTTGCTGCGACACCGATAAGATTGGAGCTTGATAACTGGAAACGCTTATCCCCGGATAATGTTGCGAAGGAAGGTTGTACCCGCCACGACTCATACCCGAAGGTAATGCAGAAGAGTGTGAGATTCCGCTCTGTGGGATTATCGGAACACTTGTCAACAACGAAGGGTACGTGGAGCGGCTTAGTGCTGGTAAACAATGTTGAGGGCCACTTGACGACACATAGGGGTACGCGGAGCCACTTGGCAGTACAGAGGGGTAAGCAGAGCCACTAGGCGGCACATATGGATAAGCAAGGCCACTTGGTGGTATAGAAGGGTATGTGGGATTAAACGATCCGATAGCGGAATCTCTACTAACCGGGAGTGAACTGGTAGGTTGGTTACCTAGCCTTAATTGACTTAGAGGATATAAAGCTTGATCGTAATTTGGATCGCGATTGTTCCAAGAAGTGCAATGATTGTTCGTTGGATTGCCGACTACACTTGCCGGTAGTGATTGAGCTGGCAGCGACGAGACAGCCCCTACCACATTGGCTGCTGAACGTCTCGGGGTGGATTGCTGCAATGGTGCTGGGGGTACGTTGTTCGGAGACGTTGTTAAAGTTTCCACTGGCAAACCGGATCGCGACAAGGTCACCGGCGAAATCAGGTCCTTGAATGCAGGGGCAAAATTGGTACCATACGAAATTTCTCCAGAGGTTGTCGCTGGTTGACGTCCACTGCTTGTTTGGAACGTGGGTATTAATGGTGGATGCACTACGCTAATTGCCATAGACGTGAGCCCAGGGGGGACGTTTCCCCCTGTATTGGAACTCAGGGTCACTGCCGGCTGCGCGTTCATCCACTCTCGAACTTTGTCCACTCTCTGACGGGCACTGTGATGGCTTCTAACGCTTTTTCCGTCTTCGTCTTCCTCCAAGCGAGCCTGCAACAGCTGGTACTTTTTATCGATGAACTCCTTCTCCAAAACCATCAAATCGGTTATGGCTTTATCCCTCCTTTCTTTCTCCAGCCGCATCGCCCTTTCCTGCATATCCTTATCCTGACATTCCTTTTCCGCTAATAATCTAGCCCGTACTTCCTTTTCTTCGGCTAAACGTTGCATGTCGAGCCTCAACTTGGCTTCTCGTGCACTAGCCGTCGTAGAAGCCGATTCCGACACAGCGGTCGATGTCATACAGAATGTACACAAGTATGTTCTGCTCTCATCGGCAATGCTGTCTCCAACACCAGCACATCTGAAATGGTACCATTGCCTACAACTTTCGCACTCGACCATTCGTCTGTCCGCTTCATCCGGCTGATTACAGACTCGACAATGTCTATTTTCCGTCATATCCCCAGCATTACTCATCCTGATAGTGGATGTTGATCCGTACTGACGACAGATGTGAGGTTAGAATTTATATTCTTAAAGTTTGTTACGGGAGCGGAGATGTTTCGGACTTTCCTACAGCGAACTCGTTGTACTGTGGTTGAGTATGGCTTTAAGCTATAATTTAATAGCATATAGTTCATGTTCTAAATGGTTTACAAGGGTGTTTACTTACAATATAAGTCTTCCACGTGTACGTTCTCCGTCGTATCGTAACAATGTATGTAGGTCTTTGTAGTAGCTATAATATGTATTTTTTTTTATGTTTCCCTTGTTTCTTAGGATTAATTCAATTATTGTACTTACAATTATGTGGAAAGAAAGAAATAAACGTATAATTTCACTACGAATAATATGTGCTTAAGATTTTAACGTGTTAGCTGGATCACTTGTACTGTTTTGTGTTTGGTTCTATCGTTACCCTACCATGTCATTGTCGTTGTCTGTCAAGGAATGTCACTTTGCTCGCATTGATCCCTGCGGGAAAGTGCTGGCCCGTGTTGCCAACAACACTCATCGCCATATTCAGAACCACACGCTCCCAACGACCACACAAAATGCTCTGCAGAGTTGTAATATTGTAACCAAACTTGGAAACGGGATACACTCAAAAAATATATCACATAGAGAATTAACATTTTGCATAAAAAATACATAAAAATTCCCTCCCTTTTAACATATTCTGCACGAAAATACTATTTAACAAAAATTTCTAGGAAAAAACTGAACGATCATGAATGATTTCTTTTGACTTTTTTTGACCATAATATACATCCAAAGCGTTCCATCCACTTTTCCAAATTTCTAACTTACTATCAATGGAACAGCGCCATCAATGAGAAAAAATAGCCTTGACTTAATGGTGAAAACTATTTTTGTAGTTCTTTAAAAAATCTAGTCTAACTCTTTTCTTAAATGAACTTGGTGGCCCTGAAAAGGGCCGTTTTGTTTCTTGGTTGTTGGTGATAATCCATGACCATGACTGTCTGCGCTTGGCGTGTTCAGTGACGGCATCCGGCAACGGCAAGACGGTTCGATTGGAACATTTAAAATGTTGGCTTCAGTCTTCGCGTCTCTTATTATACATCGTCTCTGGCTCGACCCATGTACCGTACCGTGTATGGTGAGCAGTGCCAGTCCGCGATGATTTGCTAGCCCGACTCATGGGATGTATGGGACCAGGCTGTATGTTTGTTTTCAAAATCTCGAAATCAACTCCGCGTCAGAAAGCGAACGCATGAACGTACATTTTGGAGAGCATGTTTTTTAACCCGTACACGGAATAGTTTTGCTCCGTTACTGATTGCATAGAATCCACAGAACAAAAGCCGATCTAAATCTGAAGTTTAAAAGTTCACTTAAATAACTCTCTTATGGAATCTTTGTAGTGGCCCTGAAAAGGGCCGATTTTGTAGATTTTCGACGCGTTCACCACGGATACGATGTTAGTGACGCGCATGGCGTGGATAACACACAGGTTGATATCTTCGAACAGACCGACCAGATAAGCCTCGCTAGCTTCCTGAGGAGCCATAACAGCTGAGCTCTGGAAGTGCAGATTGGTCTTGAAGTCCTGGGCAATTTCACGCACCAGACGCTGGAAAGGCAACTTGCGGATCAGCAGTTCGGTCGATTTCTGATAACGACGGATCTCACGCAGGGCGACGATACCTGGCCGGTAGCGGTGACTGGGGCGCTTTTGCGAGCGGCCACTGCTTGCAAGGAGCCTTTCCACCATTTCCGAGCCATTTTCCATGGGTACGACGTGGAGTCGATGAAAGCAAACTGTAGAATAAAAATAAAGACGAATTCCATTCTGTTTTATAAAATGCGTTTGCTGTTTTAAACCAATCAGAAACGATGAAAGAACAAGAACACAACAACTATCAAGAAGAATTTAACCCTCGAGTAGGTTTAAAAAAGCCGAAATTTGAAATTTTTGTTCACTTTCGTTTCAACCTTCACCGACGACACCATCATATACAATGACCGGACGCGGCAAGGGAGGAAAAGGACTCGGCAAAGGAGGAGCCAAGCGTCATCGAAAAGTGCTGCGTGATAACATTCAAGGCATCACTAAACCTGCCATCCGCCGTCTGGCTCGTCGTGGTGGAGTTAAGCGAATTTCCGGGCTTATTTACGAGGAAACCAGAGGCGTGTTGAAGGTGTTTTTAGAGAACGTTATTCGAGACGCTGTTACTTACACAGAACACGCTAAGAAGAAGACCGTCACCGCAATGGATGTCGTTTACGCTCTGAAGCGACAGGGACGCACTCTGTACGGTTTCGGAGGATAAATTAGCATCATCGGCTTAGACAACAAAACGGCCCTTTTCAGGGCCACCAAATGAATTAAAAATGTGTTTTTGATTAACTTTCTTGTCGGGATTTGAAAGGTGGTAGGGATGTGATCGAAGATGATTTTTTTTCAGTTTAAGGTTGTTAGATTTACCCTAAGTTGGCCGTTACTGGTATGAGATCTACCACTACTAATCCAGTACCGACAATCATTTGCATTCATTTGTTGTGTTGGGGTAGTTCTAGTTAAGTAGTGCGTTTCCAATGATATTCCAGTCGAAATACAAGAGAATCAACAAAAACCGCCTGGGTTGTACGCGCCTTGGTTAATCTGAGGACAATCTAAAGAGAATAAGCAGAGAACCCCGCTAAAATTCCTATTCGGTAACTCACAACAACTCAAAATTGAGTCGAACATGCTCATTTCAGTGGGAAGTATGGCTACTCAAAAGTGAGTAGACGCGCTTTTACTCAATTTTGAGTAAACAACGCTCTCGCGCAGAGTGAGCCAAAACCACTCTGAGATATTTTCAGCCGGGAAGTTTGTTTTTTTTTGTTCTGATAAAAAGTTGAAATTAGCTGCTCCAGATTTATTTAACTGGTGCTGAAGACGACTGAAAACCGTCTCAGCATGCAATTCCTACTTACCTTAATGCATTTCGGCCTGTGTTATGCAATAATTTCACCGTTTGCAAGGGTGTTTGCTCCGACACGGCTGGTATTTTTTTTTCTAAGTCCCGGATTTGGCTGACTGAGTGCCTTTTACTCAGTTTGACTTTTCTCGTTTACTCAGATTTTGACAACCTAATGCATCAGACGAAATTGAGTACGATCGACTCACCCGGTGAGTAAGCTGAAGTAAGCTTGCACAAAACACAAGCTCCTGCCGCAGTTAACAAAAATATTTATTATATCATACCACGTAGTCCTACGTTATCATTGCGTACAACCCCATTGGGCTGTCCCTTGTAGTTTTTATGCAGAATATGCTAAATGGGAGGGACTTCAAATGTTAATCCTTCCTCCCCCACCAAATGTTACAGAGTGTCATCAAAGTACATGGAATGTTGAGATATTGAGAGTGAATTTTCTCTTTCAAATTTTAATGTTTTGGCTCTCTGGGGATTGGTAGTAAAGCGGTTAAAACTGTATGGGAAAAAAAAGTTTTTTATTTCATTCTAGCTTATTTACAAAACTTTTCAGGAAAAAACTGAACGACAAAGTCCATTAACGATTTCTTTAGGTTGTCAACTTTTTTTTTTTTTGAAAGCTTAGTGAAATTCACGAGGATTTCATGCATTACATTTGTGATATATTTTTTGAGTGTATCCCCTGTTTCCATGTTTGGTACAAGATAACACTCTGGAGAGCATTGTGTGTGGTCATTGGGAGCGTGTGGTTTTGAGTATGGAGATGAGTGCGCAAAATATTACGCAATTCCATCCTCCCTATCCGCACGCGCCCGAGGATCGGAGGCGAATGCCACTTCGACTTGTTTCGTCTACTTACTACTCTCTGGCGACTGTGCTGGGGAAGCAGCTTATGCATGTAGGTAATTGGTGGATTTGTTAGTTAATTCGACGCTTTTGGACAATGCTGGAAATTTAACAGTTTTTCAATAGTTTCTTGCTGAACATCAACATTCGGAAGCATTGTTATCGATGCGTAGCCATATTTCTGATCGAAAGGTGATAAAATTATTGAAATTGGACCAGGGGCAGCTGAGTTATTAACGTTCAAAATCTTTCTTAATTTGTTACATGTTCCATTTTCGGTTTTCACAAAGTGTACCCCCATATAGAAATCAAAGACGTAGTCCTACGTCAAAAAAATGGGAAATATTGTCCAATACCGATCAAACTAGGTATTTTTGGAATCGGCTGATATCATAAGAAGTGGGAAATTCTATCAAATACCCAGTACTACGGGTTTTTTTTTAATCGGGGTAACATCTAGGAGCCGGAAATCAATATCCGACGCCATTTTGAAATCTATCGATTTAAGAAAAGGTGTCAACTATCCTAAAATAAAGGTATTTTCGGAACGGGGATGACACGTAGATGCCGAAAATCAATGTCAGACGCCATTTTGAAATCCAAGAAAAAGTGGAAAATACTGTCAAATACTTATCTATATGAGTATTTTCGGAATCCCAGTAACGTTTTTTTTTTTTTCTTTATTAGAGTGACTTTCAGCCACTGGCTGGTTCATCACTTCTTCCCAGTAACGTCTAGAGACCAGAAACCTATAATCTACGCCATTTTAAAATCTAAGTTGGCGGTTTTTGAAACTGTCAAATACCGATCAATGTGGGTATTTTACAAATCAGGGTCTGGGTTCAATCGCAGCCGGGGTCGGTGGGATTTTTCTGAGGCATAAAAATCGTGGTGACACATAGAGTCCGGACCAAATTCTTAGGGAATTTTACACTTTTTGTGAACTCCGACGGCCACCATCTTGGATTCCAAAATGGCGTTGAATATCGATTTTCGGCATCGGCAAAAATACCCAATATCTTAGAGTATTTGACATTCTCTCCGATGGCCACCATCATGGATAAAAATGGTGTCATACAACGACTTTCGGCACCTTCGCGTTATCCCCCCCGTTTCAAAAATACATACATTGTAGGGTATTTGACACGTTTTCTGAGACCGATGGCCGCCATCTTGGACTCCAGAATGATTCTGGATTAATATAAGCTAACAATTTATTACTACATATAATCTATATGCCATCCCTATTGGCAACCGATATTGTGCGGATACTAAATTAGGATATTTTAAAAAACATTATCAAAAAAAAAAAACTTCTAAGTGCTTGTAAACATCACCACTGAACTTTCAAAAAGTTCATCCGATGAACACTGAGTTCATTTGTGACGTCACACTGCAGAACCTAAATGAAAAACTACAAGGCACAGCCCTATGGGGTTGCACGCAATGGTGACGTAGGACTACGTGGTCTTACACAATGAATCTTATTTGTTAACTACAACAGGAGCTTGTGTTTTGTGTAGGAATTGGAATTTGAGCGGGGTTCTCTCTGTTAATACTCTTTTGTATGACGCGCTTGACATGGATGGCCCACAGCGACTCACGAAGGGCTACTGATTCCGATCAATACCGATACGGCTTCTTCCTCCTTCTATTGATGCTCTTGTGGAATGCAGCTCGCTGCTTGCAGGCAGCCTTTTGTTGTGTATTGGAGAACAATGTTCACCGCCACGCGCCGAAAGCATGCTGCTGTTGTTGATGCCACCGAGCGGACACCACCAAACACGGTGATTGGAACTAAAGCCTTTTGTTGTGTACTGGAGAATACCACCACTCACCACGTGGTGATTGAATCAGCACCGTTTGGTGAGATCGGATGGAATTCAACTTTGAAATCTGTGTTAGAGAAATCGCTTTTCACAGGCAATCGTTGATAATTTCAATTCGTGTAAATTTCAATATTGACATTTTGAAAAATGATAAAGTCTTAAAATTAACAGATGCGTAAAAAAATTTCTGATCGATTGGTGATAAAATTATTGAAATTGGTTCAGGGGCAGCTAAGTTAATAACGTTCAAAATCTTTCATAGTTTCGTTACATGTTCTATTTTCGGTTTTCACAAAGTGTACCCCCATATAGAAATCACAGACGTAGTCCAAGGTCAAAAAGTCTTTGCTTCGAATGAAATGAACTGAAGAACTAGACGAACGAAACAAGCGATAGCCATGTCATGTTTGACAGGAGGAATCCCAACAAACATTGCATGCAGAATAATAGCTTATTCAGGCAAAAATAAGCTTCATCAGGTAAAAAAATTTAGTCATTTTTCAGTTAAAATTGTTTGTTGGGATATGCATCGTGACTTGATAACAAGAAACACAATGACTTACATGAAAATAATATTGCTCTAAATAAGGCGATTCTGCAGAGAGTTCATTTTCTTTTCTTTGTTTCGAAAATGCAGAACCCTGGTTCCGATTCCCAAATTCGATCGTCATCTTTTACCAGTTCCTTAATTCCATCTTGATAGAGCATGGAGAGACTTTATAAAATATCACGGGTCCTAGAACAATTTTCGATGATCCGTGGCTGGCTAATTCATTAGATTTTTCATTACCTTCTACTCCACAGTGTCCTGGCACCCGGTAAAGATTTACTGTATAGTTATCAGACAACTGCTGATGTAGCTCAATGCATTCCCATACTAATTGTGGGAAACATGTAAATGATTTCAAAGCATGCTTTGAAAATTTATTGAATATGTTTATTAGGGTGGTTCAAAAATAACGATTTTACTCCATCAGGGTCAATTGATTCTAAATCAAGTACATACTGATCATTCTCCTAAAATTTGAGTTTATTTGGATGCGCACTGGCCCTTTAAAGTTTATATGGAAATTACTGATCTTTATGTTCTCAACGTCCTAGCACTTCACCAGTAT